TATGTTCATGAGAATAGCTGACTTTCAACTTCTAGGCCCTCTTCTCAGTGCTTTACATGCATCAACTCATTCAATCACCACAAAGACTGTACAGGGACCATACTGTAGCCCATATTTTGCAGATGGGGAGATTAAATAATCTGCCTTAGGTTACTCAGCTAGCAAGTGGCAGGACGGGGACTTGGTTCCCAGTTCTGAGGCTCCAGAGCCCACGCTGACCACACACACTGCCTCTCTAGGAGAGACTGGTAGAAAAGCTATGCTCTTATATGTGCTACTATTTGTAATACTTTAAACAATAAAATAAAATTTTAAAAAAGAAAGAAAAGAAAAGCTATGCTCCATTCAGAGAGATAGGATGCTACTCTTTTCCATTCTCATCTCCTATCACTCCCCCTGGCCCCTCCAGTGCCCCATGTACCTCCCTGCTCAGCTATTCCACTAGTAGCACCAATGTACTCACCTTGAAAGGATACAGTGGTGCAACTTCATACCTATAAGCTCATGCTTTATTTGCTCATGCTTTTACCTTCTCTGTCTATTTGATCATATTCATCCCTCATCCAGGTAAGAGATCAAAAAAAAAAAAAAAATCCACACCCCCCACTCCTAACCCCACTTTAGAATTCTTTGTGTCTTCCTCCATATATATGCGTCTGTCACAGTGCTTACTATTGTACATTGGAACAAGCCTGGATGTTTTATAGTTCAGGTTGTCTGCTAAGATTAGGGGTTCCACATCACCTATCTTTTTCATTATTGTTTTCTTAGTGTCTAGCTTAGTGCCTTCTATGTGGTAGGAAACAGTTTTAAATTCAATGTTTCACTTACTCAGACTAAATGAATGGTGGTTGTTTTTTTTTAGTTGACAATAGAATACTTTGAATGGTAATATCATTATCATCATCATCTAAACCAAAACCAGAAGAAAATGTTTCTTATACTTTTTATTTTTAATGTATTTCAGCTTGGCTAGTGTGGCTCAATGGTTGAACATTGACCAGGATTTTATTTCAATTCCCAGTCAGGGCACATGCCCGGGTTGTGGGCTCTATCTCCAGTGTGGGGTGTGCAGGAGGCAGCCAAACAATGATTCTCTCTCGTCATTGATGTTTCTATCTCTCTCCCTCTCCCTTCTTCTCTGAACTCAATAAAAACACATTTTTTAAAAATCTGAAAATGTATTTTGATCTTTTAAAAATGATTGTTTCAGTAATATTCAGTGATCAGAAGTACCTCAACAGAATCACTAATTGCACAAAGTACTATTTCATCTTTTATTATTAAAATATTTTCCTTCATTCTCAAGCTATCACCTAACTCTTTAATCCATCCCAGATGATGTGATCATAGCATTTTTCTTAAAGTACCATTTTGAACATTTTGAGTTTTTTCTGTTCAAGTTTTGACATTGGTTTTCCGTGTCCTAACAAATCAAGTCTGAATGTCTATTTGGTTTACTTCAGTTAAGGCCTTTAATACCGGATTCCTCACTTGTTATTTTAGAGCTTTATCAACCAATGGGCCCATATACACTGACGTGTCTCAATTAAGTTCACGTGGCAGAGCCTGATGCTTTTAGGTTGGCTCCATTCACCCCACACCATAATTACCATTTTTAATAAGTTTCGTGAAGTTAAAGTCTGGGAAACATTGTCAAATTCTACTTCAATTATCATTGACTTCTCAACCAGTTTCCTCTACTTTTTTTAAATAAACATATCCCATAGCTTCATTTTGGCTGTCTCCCTTACCTGGCATGCCATCCTTCCTTCTTTTGGACCATATTTCAACGGCCAGGGGAAGCCTGTGTGGTTATCCGAGACTCTGAGTCCCTTCTCTGAGTAATGACTGCATTTATAGAGAGCACCATACTGCCTCAAATTAAGGTGAGACTTCATTCTTCTCTTTCACAGGTTCCTTCTGCATGTTGTTGCAGTGGTTAGCCATAATTAATTGCCCAATTAGAAACTGCACTTCAAGGAGATCTCAGCATACACACCGAAAAGATTTGAGAAGTTCCAGGTGCACAGTTTCATGGCACTCCCCTCAGAATGCAAACAAGTTCCATCTGCTCCATCTCACCTCTTTACCTGCTGGTCCTTCCCTAGCTACATCCTCTCCATTTCTCTGTCCTTCCAAGCTCAGCCTCCAGTTCAAAGTCAGCTCCACCTTCTTCAGCTGCTCTAGCCCCTTGGAAAAGCTGGGTCCTTTTAAGGTCCTGCGTTTCCCTTAGTTTCTGGACAAAACTGCTCTCCTCGCAGTTACTTGAATTCCAACTTGGCAATTCTCTTGGATTCTGTCCACAGATTTCCCCAGCATGGACTTCTTTCTGGAAATAGTATCCAGATGAGCTGCTTTGAACTAACTTCTTCTCCCTTTCCTCTGCCTTCACTTCCGCCCACAGGAGACCTCATTGAATCTCATGACTTCTGCTTTCTTTCACACCTCCAAGTCCTGCCATTGACTGACAACAAGATTCTACCTTATTTTGGAACCGAATTGCTCATAAGTGTCCTATATTTCTGTTTTCCCTCAAATTAAAAAACATTAACATGCCGAAACTGGTTTGGCTCAGTGAATAGAGCGGCGGCCTGCGGACTGAAAGGTTTGATTCCAGTCAAGGGCATGTACACTGGTTGAGGACACATCCCCAGTGGGGTGTGTGCAGGAAGCAGCTAATCAATGTTTCTCTCTCATCGACGTTTCTAGCTCTCTATCCATCTCCCTTCCTCTCTGTAAAAAAATCAATAAAATATATATATATATATTTAAAACCAACAACACAACACCAGGTACCCAGTTGGCATGGCTCAGTGGTTGAATGTCGACCTATGAACCAGAAGGACACAGTTCTATTCCCAGTGAGGGCACATGCCCAGGTTGTGGGCTAAATCCCAGTGTGGTTCTTTCTCATCATTGAGGTTTCTATATCTCTCTCCCTTCTTCTCTAAAATCAATAAAAATATTTTTAAAACAACACCACCAGTGTATCTTTGCTCTGGTGTTGAGGTATGCAATTTAGTGATGTTTGATGAGGGAGAAGAATCCCTCCTTAGGAAAGGAACACAGGATAATCCACATGAACAATAGAAATAGGTGCAGAGAAGTTATAAGCCTTGTTCATCACAGATTGTGTCAGAAATAGAGCCTTTGTGGTCTTACAGTGCGAACAACTCCTCCTGGTTTGCCCAAGACTTTTATCATTTTAGTATTCAAAGTTCCACCTCCCAGAAAACTCCTCAGTCCTGTCCATGGTTAGTGGCCCTATGTGGTCCCCATGCAGTCCCTTAGCCAGCTTACAGTGGTCCAGCCTCTCTACCCACCACACCTTTTCTGTGCTGCACCTGCTCCCTGATCACTTGATACACCAGAGTTAACAAGCCATTCCGGGCTGATAGTGTGTTTAATGTTTCCTCTAAGCACATGTGTCAAACACAAGGCCCGCGGGCCAAATCCGTCCCGCCAGGCCTTGCAATGTGGCCCGCACCGCGCTGTCATCACTGCACTCGGCTGCGTTTCCATCACAATGACAGTTTATGACTGTTCAGTAAACCATTCGGCCCGCAATTTAGGCTGGATTTTAGATTTTGGCCCCTTCTCTGATTGAGTTCGACACCCCTACTCTAAAGCATATTACTTGTGCTTACCCGGGTTAAATTTGTCCCTCTTATCCAAGCCTTCTCTGAGCAGCTTGGCTCTTTCCGTGACTCTCATCGGCTTAAATCACATGAGGTTTGAGCAGAAATGTTTCACTCTGCTTCTGTTCCAACTGTGTCTTTAAGGTTAATTTGTCATATTGGGGACTGACTCTGTTGCAATGAAAATCATGCCACCTTTCATTTCCTCTGAAATGAAAAAAAAGGGCTAGAGCAGCTGAAGAAGGTGGAGCTGACTTTGAACTGGAGGCTGAGCTTAGAAGGACAGAGAAATGGAGAGGATGTAGTTAGGGAAGGACCAGCAGTCAACAAACCCCCCCCCCCCCCCTCTCTCTCTCTCTCTCTCTCTCTCTCTCTCTCTCTCTCACACACACACACACACACACACACACACACACACATTATTGGATGCTGCATGCTAACAGTAACCTCGTAAGGTGGACAGGCACTTATTAGTCGAAAGAAGTATGAAGAGCAAAGAAAAAATTTCTTTACAAGTGGTTTTCTCTTGAAATGTCTTCAAGAAACATTTAATAAAATATGCTTCCAAATTCTTTGTTTCTCTTAAACTTTGGCTTCAAAGCATAAACTGCAATGGAGGTCTAAATTATTTGGAATCGGCTGCTGGCAACCACACAGTCTTGAAAAACCCAGAGTAGGGCTTGCAGGCGGGGGGGGGGGGGGGGGGGGGGGGGGGGGGAGAGATTGTCCTGGACCAGCTCCTCCTTCCCAGCACAGGCAGGCCCTGGAGTGAGTGTCCTATCCTTTGTCACTCCAGAGGCTGGCAAGCCCTCCTCTCCACTCCTTCTCACCCAGAGCATTATTTCTATAAGGAAATGCAAACTTCCAAACATTCTCTTAAAATATAACTTGATTGTACAATGGGAACTGTCATTAAAAAAGCCTCACCTCTTGGTTTCCTCTTGTATAGTCTTCTAGATACAAATTCCCGTTTTAAGTCCTATGAATCACACAAAGCTATGGGCAAAAGAGTGATGCTAAAATACTGCCTCTTCGAGTATGGGACTTTTAAAGTCTAGAGCCATTCAAGTTATACTGATTATATAGTTTAAGTTCCTATATGAAAGTTTGATAAAGTTATGTAACCCTCTGTTAACGCTGAATTGAATGACATTCTTCCAAAAACTTCATGGTTTCTCTATTTCAATGTTTCTTGTTTCTTTTCTTTCCCTTCACCATTTCCATTCTTTCCTAGTTTTATTCCCAAAAAGGGGTGGGGGAGGGAGGGAGAATGAAAAGGTCCATGAAGAGCAATCATCATTCAAATGGACAGAAATATCGAGTGCCCGATCAGATGGTGCCATCTTACTTTCCCACCAATCAAGTTTTTAAAAAGGCCAGTGCTTTCTCAGTGTGGAAGAAGATAGCTTTCACACGGAAATGGTGCCCAAAAAGACTTCTAAAATCCCCAATTTTGTCTTCTCTTTTATCCTTTTCTCTTTGTTCTTTTTCTTTCTTCTCATGCTCGGCCTTAGCTTCTTCTTCCTCATGTTTTTTGACCAACAGTTCCACTTCCCTCTGTTTGAGGACTCAGATGAGTGAATTTCCATTCTCTCTTGTGAGTGGGCCAATTTCCACTTTTTTCAGCAGCGGGTTTGGTAACATCCACGGTCTTCTTGAGGACTTTGATAGCTGAAGCAAGTACTGACCTCAGAGTCATTTCTCTTTCTTTGTAGTCTTGTTTAAACACTGACACAGCTGTGGTGCTATTATTTCCAATGCATGTGGCTTTCCATCCCCCGTAATGTCTGCTAGGGTCGCTTTGATAGAGCTGAAAGCCATGACGCTTATCCCAGCCAATGTACAGCAGTGAAACACCGAAGGGATGTTTTTCTCTAAACTGTTTATAAGCGTGTTTGGTATCACAAAGTGCTGTAACCAACCGCCCACATGGAACTGGCTCCTGATCCTGTAATACATTCCTTTGAGCAATGAGCCTCAGCTCATTACTCAGAACATTAGCATCAGGAGTTCTGCTTGTCACACTGCAAGCCATGTCTTCATTGAGTTTATACATTTATTGGGGGGGGGGGGTTTGGCATGGGGAGGGGAAGAGACTTCATCAAAAAGCTTGTGGATATTACAATGCCTTGCTGCAAGCAAAACACTATCATTTGCTAAAATTACCAAACAGGTGCCTCCATGGCATATTCAACGTGGTACAGAGACCTTCTGAGAAAATATGGCAGTCCTGGAGTCAGATCTTCAAGACTTATTTTCTGAACTTCAGAGGCCCCGAGAAAAGACATGGAGTTGAGTTCTACCTGGAGGGTTTCACCCCGCAGGAGGAAACCACCCTCGATGTTTCTTAAACATGCCTCCTCATAGGAATCATCTCCGGTTCTTTTTAATTTCAGACTTTAATGTATATACGAATCTCCCAGAGAGCTGTTTAAAATGTCATTTTTTTTTTTTAAAGAACACAAATCCAATATTTTATAGAATATCCCTTATTGTCAGTGTAGTGAATGTTTTCTAGTGATTACATTTGGGTTGTGCATTTTTGGTTCAAATCCTACATAATCAATGTGTCCTTTTCAATATTCGCTCTGGAGACACACATGCTATCCATTTACTTCTTATGGGTGTGCTCAACCACACTTTGAGAAATACTTGGCTACTTTGAAAAATATTTGAATAGTAGGCACTTTCTCTCCTAAGAGTGTCTCAGAACCTCAAGCGGTCAAAAAAGGAAACAGGGCTTCTACTATTCTGAATTTTCTGAATGCTGGTTTGTTAAGGGGCATTCCTATCTATTGTCTAGAAGATCACGTGTTAATCACAGCTGCTATTACATTCAAAACCACAACACACCTTCATGTTTAATTTTAAAATTTTTCCACCTCTACCCTGCCCTCCATTTCATTCTTAGTAACTCTGGATCATGATTTTTATTTTGTTGTCAATACAGGTAATCTATATGACATATCATATGACATAATTAGACCAACATATGCTCTTGATGGTAGCTTAAGGCTAGTAGAAACAACTTAATTTCTTGCATCACACATTTTACAATGGTATATCAGCTTCCTCTTCAACTGTGCTCTTTAAAGTACTCATTTATTCTTCCTTGACCTCTAAAACATACTTATTCACGGACTGTTACCTGGTGCTTTACCTTACTTCTTATATTTCCACATAAAATTTCTAACCTGCTATCTCAGCATAGCTACTTCATTGTTGACTATATAAATCTCCTGGCATGTATTCATTCATTCATTCATTCATACATTCAAACTACAAATAGCTCTAAGACTAAGAAAGAACAGGATCTGAGTTTTAAAGGAGCTAGCATTTACTGTGTACCAGCAACCATTAGTGTCAGCCACTATTACAGACAGTACGTCACAACACCCCGAGAGGAATATTTTTGTTACCACCATTTTACAGACAAAGAAACAGAATGAAATAACTTATTTGACACCAAACTACCAACAAATGATAGCACTGGGATTTAATTCTAGGTCAAATTACCTCTATATAGTCTCTTTTTTGGATACTGCCTGTAAAACTGTAAGTAAAGATAGAGTGACAGAATTAAGTTGGCAGATTTCAGAATGCTGAAATTAGGTATGCCTCTCAAAACTGAAAGTGAAACATGGGAACAAATAAAAGCAATACAAAACTCTACCATGTAGGGCCGTTCAGGAAAAAACCAGAAGTTTCACAAGAGGTTCTCTTGAAAAATTGAAAATAAAGTGGAAGTCCCTGTGTTCTCTCCCCCATCCCACCCACCCTCCTGCTACCTTTTCGATTGTTTACTATTACTGTGTTTTTATACTTTCCCGAAATAATGTCATTAAAGACAAATAAATGTAAAAAATTGTATGTTATAAATAATAATGTGCAACTTGGTACTAGTATTGAGCATTTCTAATAAACTCTAGATCTAGCATTTCTAATAAACTCTAATGCACACTGTCTAAAATACATTTCTAATACATTTATTTTGAAGACCACTTAGTAGGAATGTACCAAGTGATGTACATTTCCACAGTTTATTTTTTATGTATTCTTGTAATGAAAAACATTTAGGCTTATAATGGATTCTTAGGGAAGCTAGGATTGATTGGGAAATGCCTTTAGCTTTGAGATGTACATTATAAATAAGGCCACAAAAGCCAAAGAGTATAAAGGTTGCCCGGAGTTGCCCTAGCCAGTTTGGCTCAGTGAATAGAGCATCAACCTGTGGACTGAAGGGTCCAGGGTTCTATTCTGGTCAAGGCACATGCCCTGGTTACCGCCAAAATTCCCAGCAGGGGAATGTGCAGGAGGCAGCTGATCAATGATTCTCATCTTTGATGTTTCTATCACTCGCTTCCTCTTCCATCCTCTCTGAAAGTAATAAAAAAAAAATATATATATATTTTTAAATGTTGCCTGGAGCTGGCATTTGGTGTTAGAAATACCCTTTGTATTGAAACTTAGGACCTCAAAACGAGTTGCAAAATTAGACATTATTTATTTCAATAATAACTATGTATTAGGAAAAAAAGACAGATGTCAAAGTGGAAGGTTTGATGTTAAAGACTAATGTTCTGTATATTTATTTAACAAACTTTATTTTTCAAAGCAGTCTTAAGTTCACACCAAAACTGAGCAAAAGTACAGAAAGTTCCTATACTTCCCTCCCCCTCACACATGCACAGCCTCCAGCACTATCAACATCCTGAATCAGAGTGGTACATGTGTTATCATCGACGAATCTAATTGACACATCATTAGCCCCCAATGCTCATAGTTCACACTGGGGTTCATGCTTGGTGGTGTGTATTCTATGGGTTTTGACAACTGTATAAAGAAAATGTTGAAAATCCACCATTGTAGCTTTATACAGAATAGTTTCATTGCCCTAAAAAAAATCCTGTCCTTTGCTTATTTATTCCTTCCCTCTTCCAACCCTGGAAACCACCGATCTTTTTACTCTTTCTATAGTTCTGCCTTTTCCAGAATGTCACACAGTTGGAATCATATCGTATGTGGCCTTTTCAGATTGGCTGCTTCCACTTAGTAACTGCATTTAAGTTCTCTCCATGTCTTTTCATGGCTTGATAAGTTATTTCTTCTTTTTATTATTTTTTATAACATATTTTATTGATTTTTTACAGAGAGGAAGGGAGAGAGATAGAGAGCTAGAAATGTCGATGAGAAACATTGTCCAGCTGCCTCTTGCACACCCTCCACCTGGGGATGTGCCCGCAACCAAGGTACATGCCCTTGACCAGAATCGAACCTGGGACCTTTCAGTCCGCAGACCAACGCTCTACCACTGAGCCAAACCGGCTTCGGCAAGTTATTTCTTTTTAGTGCTGAATATATCCCATTGTCAGGATGCACAACAGTTTATTGATTTGCCTACTAAGGGACATCTTCGTTGCTTCCAAGTTTTGGTAATTCTGAATAAAGTTGCAATAAACATAGTGTGTAGCATTTTTGTGGAAATAAGCTCCCAACTCCTTTGAGTAAATGCCAAGGAGCATGATTGCTTAATTGTACGGTAAGAGTGTATTTTTTTTTGTAAGAAACTGCCAAACTGTCTTCTAAAGTGGCTGTACCATTCATTTACATTCTCACCAGCAAGGAATGACTGTTCCAGTTGAATTGGTATAATTTTTTTCTTTTCTTTTTTGTTAATCCTCACCCAAGGATATTTTTTCATTGATTTTTAGGGAGAGTGGAAGAGAGAGGGAAAGACAGAGAGAAACATCAGTGTGAGAGAAACACATGGATGGGTTGTCTCCTGCAGGAGCCCCCACCTGGGTGGGGAGGAGCCTACAACTGAGGTACATTCTGTTGATTGGAATTGAACCCGGGACCCTTTGTTCTGCAGGCCAATGCTCTATCCACTGAGCCAGACTGGCTGGAGTATGGTATAATTTCTTACGTAAATGTTTGGTAAGATTCCCCACTGAACTCATGTGGGCCTGGTGAATGTTACTGAACAAAAAGTGTTTCCAAGTCACAAAATGTGCTAGGTTTGAATAATGGATTGTGTACCATGAGTGCTCTGAATTAAAATAATAATGGCAAAAAGAAAGGACCCAGTAAACTTAAGGGAAAAAAGATAATCAAAGTAGACTCAATGAGGATTAGAAAAAAGGAAACCCGATGGAATCTTTCCTACTTGATTTCAGAATTTTAAAAGCATAGATATTCCAAAAAAGGAAGGGTGGAGGGAAAGGCATGTGGGGTCTATAGCAAGGAAATGGTGTATATTATAGCATCAAGAACAAACTAAACAAAAACAGAATAAAGCCCTCAAAATAACATTTATATAAAAACCATGTTCATTCAGCATTTTCTACAAGACAAGCATAATGCTAAATATCATAGCATTAGCATATTTAATCTTCACAACAATACTATGATTTAAGAGCTATTTTCTACCATTTATAAATGAGAAAACTAAGGCTTTGTGACTTTAAATATTATAACTTGTTCAAAGTCATACAAATTCGGGTCTGTCTGACTCTGGAGTTAGAGAATGTGTTTCTACCAAATTTATAGGATCAGTAAGATTTCCTAATTACTAACTACCATTGATGTGCCTGGCACTTTATATACTTACCTGTATTTCTTACTACAATCCTGTGAGGTAGATTTAAATAATAGTTAGGTATTAATAAGGTAACATCACCTTATTAAATATTAATAGTAGCCTTACAACAGTCCTGTGAAGTAGCTATTACAGATATTTATAGGCTATTACCTTATTAATTATTAACAATATCTTGATGGAGAGTTACATTCAAAAGTATAAAAAGCTGCTATTGAATTCCCTCAAAAGCAAACCACCTTTAGCATCTTTATTTCTTCTCCTCCCCATCCCTCTCCTGCACCTCCTTTCCTCTCTCCCTCCTCCTTATCCTCTTGGGAGAATGGGCAGTCGGGGAGAGTGGATAGAGTATTGATGTTGAAGCCAGACAGGCCTGACTCGAACAGACTTGGAATCAGATCCCAACACAGTTGAGAAAATAGCGACTAAAAATATATTCTCAGAGACACAGCTGATGCTCTAACTCCTTTATAAACTTCCTTTTAGTGTGCTATAGATGTGGCAGCTTATGTGTGTGTATGGGGGGGGGAGGGGGGTAAGGGGGGTGGTGAAATCTCAGGCCTCTAACATGAATTAGAGAGGTTAAAAGGTAAAGCATCAAAAGAGTTAACGTAATTCTAAGAAAAAGACCTGCACATTGTTCTTTGCAAATAACAAACCTAAAAACCCAGAAGAATAAGAGCAATTTCCTTTGGAAAATATGAGTTCCTAGAATTATGGAATATGGCATGGAAG